GACAATAAATCCTATAATTCACGCGATCCTGTAATCCTGTAATAGTAATATATAGAAAACTCACAATGAAATAAATGTTTTGCTACAGTTTCGTTAGGCATAAACTCTGCCACCAGCAATCTCTCCCCTTCCTCATAGCAACATCCTATCAGATTTGCCAATCGCTCATTTCTCAGGTTCCTCACTGCCTTAGCCTCATCCTATAATAACCGACCCAAAAACAGTAACAAGATATTGGCGAGAATCAGGCCAATCTGAGAGGATAGTGGTTTCTCTGTATTATCTGGAACCAAACAGATTGTATATCTTGCTGTGCAGAGATAAAATTGATTTAGAGGAGCAATTGGCTGGACCCCTTAATGAACAATTTCTTGATTTATATTAGGAGCAGGTTAGCGATCTGTAAAAGACCCAATCTTGAACTCGATTAAGAGATGGCAAAAGGCTCAATAACAGAGAGCAAAGGAAGACAAGAAAAAGGTGAGAACGAAGAATGGGCAATAATCTGACAATAACAGCAATACTAATAGAAATGGTGAGAAAACAAGAACGAGAAGAATTGGGCAATCTACACTCAACACATCAAGTGATTTTCCTAAAGCAGCACTATAAGTAAACTCTCTACAAATACCTTCTTCTAATGTTCTCTTCATTCTTAGACGAACGGAATAACCATCATGACTATCAATTGGCCCAATATTCCCACTGTCCAAATCAAACATTCCGATACCGCGACTCTTCCACAGCCAATCATCCTCCCTGCCACTAAAGAACTGATCTGTAAAGAATATACAATTAACTTTGCACCAATTATCCCCAAACACCACCGAAGAGCCGTTAATGAAAAGGAAAGGGTTAAGGAATTGACCTTAAACTTGAAGTCGTCGATCTCGAGCTTCAGCTCCTCCTCCACCGCACCGGCCACCACAACAGATCCTTTGTCTTCGTTGTCTGTCTCCGTCATGCCGATCACCGCGATGGATCCTTCTTGTACGTTTTCCTCCATTTTGGCTGCTAGTGATAAACAAGCCGCGGCTAAAAACTGAAATCCCCATATTTTACCTCTCTGTGAACACCAAGAAAATTATAACAAATCAAGAATGGAGACAATAAATAAGAATTGAATCACTGTAAAACAAAATGGCGTTGCAA